CCCGGCGGCGCTCACCTACGCTCGGCCCGCAGAGCGGCGACGATCTGGACCCCAAGTACGTGCTGAGCTCTCGGGTGCGCACGGGCCGCAGCATCCGCGGCTTCTGCCTCCCCCCGCACTGCAGCCGCGGGGAGCGCCGCGCCATCGAGAAGCTCGCGGTGGAAGGTAGGGGTCCCGCCCGCCCCTTCGCGTCCCGGCCGCGCCCGCCTTGTTTACTCGTCATCCGAGCCGCCCTGCTCTTATCTGCACGCGCGGTCCGGTTTCCCAAGGGACAGAGGCCCAGCCTTGCGCCGACAGCGGCCTGGGGACCGCGCAGACTGGGTCCCGCGGGGCGGGGGCGGGGGTCCGGCCCGCAGCCTGTCCCCTGAGCCGGCCTCTCCGCAGCGCTGTCGAGCCTGGACGGCGACCTGGCCGGCAAGTACTACTCGCTCAAGAGCATGACGGACGCGGAGCAGCAGCAGCTCATCGATGACCACTTCCTCTTCGACAAGCCCGTGTCTCCGCTGCTGCTGGCCTCGGGCATGGCCCGGGACTGGCCCGACGCCCGTGGCATCTGGTGCGAGTCCCCTCCCCCACCCCTCCCCATCCCGCGGGTCCCCGCCTTCCCTGCGCCGCCCCGCCCATGCAGTGGAGGGAGGAGGGGTCACGCTCCTGGGACAGGTTTGGTGCCATCAGGGCCTCCTGGCAGGTGACCTTGACCAGGCAGGTGCGCGGAGGCCTCAGTCCCGGGGGACCTTAGGGGTGGGGGAGGAGACAGGCCAGGTTGGCTTCTCTCCCCCCATCTTGGGAGCTGGAGCTCCTTGTTTTCTTTCTTTCTCACGCGGGACTCTGCCAGGTGCGGGGTGACGCAGAGGATTCCCAGCGGGGCGAGGGCGGGCCTCCTGCTTGCCTCACTGTCTGTAGGCGGGGCTCCAGCCCCCAGACACAGTGCTTTCCGGGACGGGGTCGGGGTGGGGCTGTCCTGGCGGCTCTTGCCCCTCACCTCTTAGATGAGGACCTGGTGTCCCCCTTAGCACGTGACTGGCAGGATGGGGGGCAGCTTAGGGCTTTTTGATCCATTTCTGAGGTGTCCTGGCCTCCCTGCCTGCCCCTGGGTACACCTCAGGCCTGGGACCCCCTGGAGCCTTTCCTGGATGTGCCAAGGCCTCCGTCCTGGAGGCGGCCTGACCATGCCCCCCCCCCCCCCCCAGGCACAATGACAACAAGACCTTCCTGGTGGGGATCAATGAGGAGGACCACCTGCGGGTCATCTCCATGCAGAAGGGGGGCAACATGAAGGAGGTGTTCACCCGGTTCTGCAATGGCCCTCCCCAGGTCAAGCCTGGGCCCCAACAAGAGCTGGCATTAGTGTGTGTGTGTGGGGGGGGTCGGTTTCAGGGTCCTGGGGGCCCAGCTGGTCGCCTGCGGGGAGGGGTCTCTCCAAGCCTCGACGCTTAAACCTTCTCCAACTCCAGAATGAAAGGGTCTTCTAGAGAAAAAAATCCAAGTTATGTGAAACCGCGACC